ATGGCTCTTCCAGAACTGTTGTCAGAACTCTAGTCGGCTGAGGCCTTGTTCACTCATAAATCAGTTATGATGGTTGCCGAGCAAGCCAGACCTTCCAGGCCTCACAAGGGCAGGAAGAGAAAGAAGGCTGCAGGAAAGGCAAAGGCACAGAGCACCCAGTTAGTGCCTCAACAGGCTGTGGCAAAGAACCCGAAAGGTAGATGCCACAAATGCAATAAGTCAGGGCACTGGAAGGTCGATTGTCCTCTCCTCAAGAAGGGAAAAGAAGGTAACTCTCATACGTTCGTCGTAGAAACATGTTTAGCGGTTGTATCTACCAGTACCTGGTGTGTTGATACTGGAGCCACTGATCATGTATGCAATTCTTTGCAGGGATTCCAGGAAACCAGGCGGCTTAGGGATGGAGAGATTACAGTCTACATGGGCAATGCTATAAAAGTAGCAGCAGTAGCAGTGGGAGTAGTTACTTTAGTATTTGATGCTAGTATTTTGGTTTTGAACAATTGTCTTTTTGTTCCAAGTTTTAGGAAGAATTTAATTTCAGTTTCTAAACTCGTTTTGAATGGTTATTCAGTTTCGTTTAATAACTCAGTTGTTATTCGTTATGGTAATCATTTGATTTGTTCTGGTTCAATGGTTGGCAATTTATATGTTCTGAAACCAAAGTCTCCCACACTGCAACAAAATGAATCGAATAATGTCTCGACTAAAACTAATGAGAGAAAAGAGTCTTCGATGAATCAAGCATATCTCTGGCACCTTAGGCTTGGGCACATCAACCTTAGGAGGATTCAAAGGTTGGTATCTACTGGGCATCTTGGTCCAGTAGAAGATCATTACCAGACTTGCGAGTCCTGCCTAGAAGGTAAGACGACCAAGAGGCTGTTTTTGGCAAAGGGGCGAAGGAGCCAAGAAGTGCTAGGATTGATTCATTCTGATTTGTGTGGTCCTATGTCGATCCAAGCTAGAGGAGGCTATGATTATTTCGTCACTTTTATTGATGATTATTCTAGATATGGATACATTTACTTGTTGCACCGCAAGTCCGAATGCTTTGAGAAATTCAAGGAGTATAGGACAGTTGTGGAGAAACAACAAGGTAAAAGTATCAAGTGTCTTCGATCTGATCGAGGAGGCGAATACCTCTTTGGAGAGTTTAGGACATACCTATCAAAAGCAGGGATTGAATCCCAGCTGACTGCACCCAGCACGCTCCAGCAGAACGGGGTTGCGGAGCGAAGAAACAGAACTCTTATGGAAATGGTTAGGTCGATGATGAGTAATTCGAAGTTACCAGATTCGTTTTGGGGATTTGCTTTAGAGACAGCATGTTACATTCTGAATTTTGTTCCTTCAAAATCAGTAGACAGTACTCCTTATGAGTTGTGGAAAGGGCGCAAGCCTAGTTTCTCACAAATTCGAATTTGGGGTTGCCCTGCACATGTCTTAGTGCAGGAGGCTGGCAAGTTGGAGAAACGATCAGAAGTGAGACTGTTTGTCGGCTATTCCAAGGAAACGAAAGGTGGTTTATTTTATAGTCCTGAGGATCAGAAAGTGATCGTTAGTACGAACCCTAGATTCTTGGAAGAAGACTATATCATAGATCATAAGCCCAGTAGTAAACTTGTCCTAGAGGAGTTAGGGAGAGATATCGATAGTTCCCCACCGAGTGCGCAAGTAGATACATCACATAGTACTGCAACACGCAACACTGATAGTGTGCCAGTATAGATAGTACCTCATCGTAGTGGGAGGGTTTCTACACAACCCGACTGATGGATAGGTCTTGG